ACCATGTTATTACCATAGGTAGGTACTGTATGTGCAGGAACATTGATGGCACATGCAGGTTAATGGGGATTGTGCAAAGTATGTCAACTAAGAGTAAAATGGTGAGAATTGTTTAGGCATACTCACATTTATTTTAACTGTCAACAGTAGTACTCATATGAGCACTGGCTCTTTAATTAGCACTGTATGTTTTATGAAAATAAATTATTTTCAATCATAAACATTTTAATGCTTTGTTATCACTGTAAGGACCTTTATGTGTGCAGTCGCAGTACCTTTGTTGGAGCAGACCACGCCCTGTGGGTTTTTGCAGAGCTCTTTGCTCTTCTTGTTGGACAGGTTACACTCCTCCTGGAACTGGCAGGCATCTCCAAACCAACCTTCATCACACTCACACATCCCACAGTCACAATAGCCACGGTCTAAGAGGAAACACAACACACCATGTGCTGTTTATCAATGCTGAAACGTGTGCCTATTGCCAGTGTTTCAAATTGCTTTATAAACACAAGGACACATATAAGTGTTTGGCACTGATGATGGCACCCATACCGAGTGATTACAGAAATTATGGTTATAATGTTAATTTGCCCCTTGATTCGTAATTATTGTACTCCCAAGTGATGGGTTTAATGGATGTGAAATCCTATACATTTATCCTAAGACTGCTGGCAGGCATTACCATGTCTCCATTATATCTCCATCTCATTTGCTGTAAAAACCTTTTTGTTAATGTCACAATGATATATTAGCTTCCCATCACTCACTCAGTGAAACCTTGTTCAGTGTTTAGAGGAGGTTTGGCAGGTAGGTTTGGCATCACTATTTCTCATCATTCTGGTGGCTACAGTGAGCAATATAAAAAACAGGAGGAATCATATGGTGTAATGAAGGTTTCTGACAAGTTATTATAAATGTTCCTGTGCATTTAGCAGGAAGGAGCCTTGAGCGCAACACCCAGTCCTTCTCCCGACTTGTTTGTCATGTAAATGTGGTGTCCTTTTCAAGGGATAGTCATCGGTCATTAACAACAGGCAATCCCACTGTCTCTCTTCATTATCAACAGTCACACGTGACACTTGGAATACAAGGAAAAGAAGAATGTGGAAAGTGCACTTCAAAGAAAGCTGCTTCATGGAGACAATACAATTTAGTGGAAAATAACACCTTTATATAATTGTTGTGATACAGTACAAACTGTAAAAGTGGAGAGGCTCAGAGTGGACTGTACTTTCTGGTGGCTGTCTAGTCAATGCAGCTACATTATAAATCCTACTGTGACAGTATATACACATATAAAGATTTATGAACAAATCAAAGTTTGAAATTCTATGCTATTACAATGTTGCCTCAGGTTAGAAATAATCTTGTAAAACTATGGGTAAACTGCATTCTTTTACTTGCTCTCTCACTAGATGTGTTTTCTCATCCAGACTTACTGTACCTTTCTGGAAGCTGGGACTGTCAGTCTGTCAGCAGTGTGCCAGTTCAGCCCATACACATGAAAAACAAGTTGTTTTCCAGCAATTAGTGTCTCTTGAGTTATTGTCTCTTGAGTTAAAAAAAAATCTCCTGCACACCGAGCCATGCTACATTTGTAATAATTTTGTTGCTTTGTGGTTATTATTAAAATTTTAATTTTACATTCAGCACAGATTTATGGGGATAATCTAAATAAGACTAAGTGTGGGCATTTCTTTTGTGATTTATTATGTAAGGTTTGCAGATGGGGACTGCCACACAATAGCTATAAGACAGAATTAGATTAAAGTCTCTCCAACTTAATTCAGGAGAAATGTACAAAGTCACTGCCGCCCACTAGCCCCCATTAATCTCAGCTTGACAATCACTCTGACATATAAAACAGCCCTTCTTTGTCTGCTAGGCGAAAGTTTATGTGTGTGGGAAGGTGGCAGTCTGTCAACCGTTTATCTTTCCTGTAATTTTCTGTGGCTTGGGGGTGTCAGGTTCCTTCCTACGCTCCTCCAATGGACAAACACGCCCAGCCAATCAGGCCCGGACCGGTGCCCAGATATATCCATTGGGAGTTGGAGAGACAGGGTGCATGTGTGCCAGCATCAGTGGCAGTAATAACAGGTGATGTCACCTTACCATGATTAACCGCTAATGACGATGTGATGGTGACTCATGCAGCAAGCTAATGCTAAGTTTGAATTTAACTTGCTCCTGGTGGTGACTCATGCAGCAAGCTAATGCTAAGTTTGAATTTAACTTGTTCCTCTTTAATGATAAACAAGGTAAATACTGAGAGGGAGATAAACAAGGAAATAGTTTTGTGTGGCCACAATAATTCAGCAGTCATGGTCATTATGAGTTAATTGTATCTGCCAAAAGTAGGCTAATTTACTCTCCATGAGGAGAAAACACTTAAATAACTTACTGTACATCTGAAGCCATCTTGGGGCTATTTTGAGATTATTAATACAGTTTCAAATGTAAGCAAAACGGTAATGCACTTACTGTAGGCTATGCCAAATCTAAAAACCCCCGGAGGCAGACTCTATGCTCATGTTTCCTCTCCAAATGACATTTCCTCACTTTGTTTATACTGTATCATGCTTCCTATAACATGATACTCATTTCAGTGAGTAATTATTAGTAATTTGATCAGTAATTATTACTAATTATTAACAATTTAATTAGTAATTATTCTCCCTTGCTTTCCTCTCCCGGTGGGTTCTGGAGTGTGAAACGACAGCACGTCCGCTCATATTTTGTGAAAAAGATCTAGGAGGCACTTGTCTCAAGTAATAACTGATCATGAAAGTTTACTGTCCTCTGAATGAGAAACTCCTGCTTTCATCCTTCAAGTTTGAAATTCTTCCACCTCAGTATCCAATTGCCAGCTTTGGCGACCTCATCATACCCTTGTAATATTGCTGGAGAATGTTCAACCCCATTATGGGCATGTTGCTGTTTTAGATGGCAACCTTTCCAATTTACAGTGTAATTTGATGTACCAACACTATGTATCAATACATATATGTAGGTACAAGGGAACAAAATGTGAAGCTGGAGAAGAAGTTGGTGACTAGGAGCTAAAAAAAAAAATTTATACTGTTAGTGTTTTTTAACTACTCATGGTTTAACCAACATGTACAAATTTGGTGGTACAGTGTGACCTGCTGAGCAACAAAGCTGGACATTTGGAGAAAGATAGCATTTTATTTCATTTTATTTATCTATTTAATCAGAGACAGTACACATTAATCAACATTCAGTGGATGTAAATGCGTCAGATTTAGCCAAAAGACTAATTTTCCTCTGTACTCTCTGGCCAGGCTGATGTAAAAAATTAAAGCAAAGAAAAGAAAACTGAGTCTATGTAACATGGATATCACAGCAAATACAGAAGCTCACTAAAGACAGCTAAATTAATGAAAGGAGTTTGACAGCACTTTCTAAATCTTCGGTGATTTCAAAGCCACCATATGGTACTGTATACTACTTACCAGCACTTCAGGGGTGCAGACAATAGGCACACTACATAACGTGTTTTTATTTTTATTTTTTTATGTATTTATGTTATATTTGGGATATTTACTAAATAGCGTAACTACAGAGTGCATTTGTGTTTTTACTTCACCAGAAAAGGTCAAGGAGAAAGAACTATGTCTGGAACATACTGGATAGTATGTTATAAAATGGGTCTACATTTGGGGTACAACATGCACTTACAAGGGACTTCAGAACCCTGGTATGGGTTTGTGTGCATTGTGGAACGTCAGACAATTTTAATTCACGTCTCAAACTGAGTGGACCTAATGCCAAAACTACAGGCACCTCTATAGCTTCCCTTAACAGCTCAGCAGTAGCTGCCACTTACTTCGCTGGCAAACACTGGATGCTCTTTTAATTTCTCCAATTGTTTCTCCTTGTGCTCTGTTCGGCCCTGTCAGACCCGGATTCACTTTTCACCTTAAGAAAAAATATATTTCCAAACATTTTTTGGGGCTGAAATTTGAAGACTTTGCCTCGTTTTGTGTGAAGAACACAAATCTGAAGAAATTTTTGATGCAGGACCACCGCAACCCCCCCCCTCCACAGTGCATTTAGGTTACACTGGCTCTGTTCGGGTCTAAAATCCCAGCAATACTAAAGGCCACTTGGCCTCACACTAAACCCTTTGAAGCCAGCCGCTTGAGTGCCAGTTGACACACAAACAGCCCAAAACACCTCCAGC